GAATAAATGAACATGGGCCTAAAGATATGATTTATTAAGGGCTGCTTTTATAATCTGAGATCTTGAACCCTTTTGAACAACAGGTAAAACCTGTCTGAAATCTCCTCCAAACAAAATTATTTTATTACCAAATGGAAGATTACAATCCATAATGTCTCTAAACATTCTATTGACCGCTTTAGGGGCATAGCGATTTGTCATTGGAACCTCATCCCAAATAATAAGAGTAGTTTCTTGAATTAGTCTAGCCAGGTCAGTTCCTTTTTCTATACTGCACGTAGCAAAATCATCTAATATAGTAATCGGTATTTTAAAATATGAGTGAGCAGTGCGCCCACCATGTAATAATAACGCAGCTATTCTAGAAGAAGCTACTGCTAATACGATTCACTGGCTAGATCGTACATATGTGAGAAGGCAATCATAGAGATAAGTTTTTCTACTTCCAGCAGGCCCATCCACAAAAAGTATGCCTCCTTGGTTGCAGTTTATAAGATTTACTACTTCATTGAATATTGCACGTTGGCCTTCGTTCAAAGTATTTGCCTTGGCAAGATCATCAGGAGCAAATTGATAATCTAGTTCTTGTATGACCAAATCTGGTAATTCTTCAGTATTAATTTCAGGCACTAACTCTAGCAGATCAAAATCACTAACAGTTTTCGAATGTCTGCGCAATATTAAATTTATGCTTCGTAAAACTGATTGAACTCTGTGTCGACCATCCGGAATTCCTCTATGAGCAAAGTCCTCCGCCATGGCATCGAAGTTTTCATTCCACAATTGTTGTTTATCTGAGACATTTCCAAAAATTAATAAAGTTGAAAAAAGCTCGCGTAGTTGGTTTGGCATTTGAAAAACCCTGGCTTTAGCCATACATTGTTGATGTTCGTTATCATTTTCAAGGAAACCTCGACATTGTGCGCTCTCTTTAAAGGATGAACACATGACACCGTCTACAACTTTAAGTTTATCGAAGCTTCGAGCACCTTTTACTTTAGTTAGCAATAAACGGAGATAATATCGCTCACCTGAATGGTTCATTTAGTTAATACATAACACGATTTCTTAATTATGAACTTAGAATACGTTACTTGCCTTCACATGGATAAGCCATGTAAATTCTTCCAATACAACCTTCTCGCTGACGTCTCTTCCAAGATCTTATTGTCTTATTCCATATATAGTATAATGGGAAGTCAGTATAAAGTATGTCTCTCGCATCAGGGTCTTGATTATTCATAGCGAAATACTCAGTAAGGGTGGTTTTCTGGTTTCAATCTGAGTTAATTATTTCTTTTAAATTACCATTTTCATCAACAAACATTCTTTGTTGATTTGGTAGATGCAACTACTTGGTTTTAATTCTAATGAGTAATAAATGTCCTTTATACACACTGACTAAATTAATGCGAATGAAATGATTTAAGAGTATTAAGTAATAGTAAATAAGTATTCTCAATTTGTGAATTTGTTTTGCTGTTTTTAATTCCAATGATTAATAAATATTTTTTTGTACTCACAGACTAAATAAAATGATTTGAGAGTATATGTAATGTTAATGTTAAATAAGTACAGTCATCCTTGCCATAATCCCGCTCTTGGGCCTGAAACAATGTGATTATAACAAGGCTGTGCTTATAGCGAAGTAATTTTTTTATATTTTATAATAATGAGTGTAACTATAGCAAGGGTGACTGTATTATGTTCCTGATTCGTGAACTAGTTTTTAATTCCAATGATTTATATACTCACCCACTGAACGAATAATTAATGCAAATGAAATGATTTGAAGTGTGATTTGTTATTTCTGAAAAGCCTGCATTTTTTGATGTAGTTTGGTTAGTAAAAAATTTTTTATCTAGAAATAGTAAACAAACAAAGTTTTGAAAAAAATTTTAATTTGCTAGGCACTTCAGATTTTGAGAAGTCAAAGCAAAAAGATCAATGAGATTAATTTTTGAAAAGCTTGTCCTTTTTGGTGTAGTTTGGTTGGTAAAAAAATTATTTATCTAGAGATAATGAACAGGCTAAGTTTGGAATCAGTTAGGCATTTCAGATTCAAGTGAATTTTGAAAAGTCAAATAGAAAAGTTTAATAAGGTTAATAAATAAATCAAGTGCTCTATTTTATGAAGATCTAAAAAAAAAATACTTAAAAAAAAGTAAAAAAAAGCTAATTTGTTCTGATTACAATTACATTATTAAATTAATACTCCTTTTAACATAAATAAATAAATTTCTAATCATATTAAAATTGTAATTAGTATATGATGTTCTTTATTTATTATTAATTAAAAATATATAATATATCACACTTTAAATTTTACTTTATTTACTGCTACTTAGATGTATATGACATTTAGTATTTTAAATTTAAGTTTTATTTATTTATTTATATTTAAACTTTATTTTTTTATTTTTTATTTTACTTTTTTTTTTTACTTCAGCGATCCTTCCTTTATTTTATAAATCGGCAATAAATTACAATTAGATACATTAGTTAGCTAAACCTACGTTATCTTGTAAGAATACTTCATGCCTGTCCAAATAAAGAATCTCTTGATCTGTCTCATTATCACAGCAAAATTATAGTCACCTATAATTAAGTGCTAGAGTATAACCCAGGAGCGACCTGCCTAAGTGACAATTTTCCTCTATCCAGAACCTCAACTTACTGAGGCTATGAACCCGGACTTCAACAGATGGTTTTACCAACCTTGTCAAAATCACCGCTCTACAATAGAGTGCCGCCAATCTGATGACACTTTCTCATAGAGAAGTAAAAAAGAAAAAAAAAGAGGTAAATGTAGAATGAAAAGGGGATAAGTAAAAAAACGAACATACAAAGAAGATGACCAGAATATAAAGAAGTTAAAAGACTATCCTAAAATCTAAGAGAACTTGTCTACAGATATAAAAACCTGCTAACTAGGTGAAAAACTATCTATATAGTCGTAGAAATCTATATATAGAGCTATTTGACAAAAGACACTAAGGTGCACTTTAACCTGTACTAAGAGGTAAAAATTATATGTCTATGACTTCAGACTATTGCATATCTCATAATACTGCTCCAGTTGCCAACTCTCATATTAAATTCAACCCAGATCCTGGAATATCTAACTTCAAAGCCTCGACACGTAATCATCAATTTTAATTTCAGCCTCAAAACTTCCTTCTCATATGTGTTTGTTGTTTTTCCTAATTCATCATATTGCAGCTCGAGACTTTCTGAGAATAGAAGTAGTAAACAATGCCGATCCTTTGCTAATCTTTTGGAGGGGGGTAGCCAAATCCCTATTTTTTATCGAAAATTATGAAAAAAAGAAAAGGCCCAAGGAAAAGTAGTTTTGTGAGGTTCCAAATTTAGAGAGTGCTTTTCCAATCTGTTTGTTTCGTCCTTTAGTCTTTTCTTTCTTCCAAACATAGATTTCTGCGCTATAGTGTTCCCAAAATATCCTTTTGGTTTGAATGCTGAATACGTAAAGGGAGTCCACCAAGAGAAGAAGCTTGACCCTCCAAAAACCAACATACAGTCAACCGTGCCTCAGTGTATCATGTCTGCAGTCTTCGTCGACAACACTCCATTACCGGGGATGGAAGTTTTACTAAGACTTTAGGCTTCAACTCTTCATCTTGCGTTTGGTAAAAATTTGGTTCAAGTGATTGTCAGGGAGAGTTGAAATGTTATTTTTTTATTTTAAATATAATTTACTCTGCTTTGCAGAGTATATTATATAAATGGAAACCCACTTAGCGGGCTCCCATGTAGCATTTGAGATTATATTATGTAAACAGAAACCTGCGATGCAGGTTCCCATATAGCATTCAAAAAATGTCATGCTAAATTTTAACAGAAATCCCTTAAATCCCGCTTACATGGGGAACTTTAATGGATCTCTGTTAAAATTTAGCATAACATTTTTTTGACCGTGATGGACAATTGTGCTTTAGTATTAAAGTGACAACAACGTTGTTGTTGATTACAAATTTTGATTAACCCAACCTGGATCAGTCCGAGATTAAACTCAATTATCTCAAAATGAGATATATTCGAGTATCCGCCCTTTCTACTGCAAAATGCCAAATGTTTTTTATACTCACCGACTAAATTAATGCGAATGAAATGATTTGAAGTGTATTGCATAATGGTACATAAGTATTATGTTCTTAACTTGTGAACTTGTTTTTAATTTCAATAATTAATAAGTGTTCTTTATACTCACTAACTAGATTAATGTGAATGAAATGATTTGAAGAGTATTATGTAATGGTAAATAAGTATTATGTTTGTGAACTTGTTTTTAATTCCAATGATTAATAAATTTTTTTATACTCACTAACTAAATTAATGCGAATGAAACGATTTGGAGGGTATTACGTAATGGTAAATAAGTATTATGTTCTTGTTTTATGAACTGCTTTTACTGTTTTAATTCCAATGATTAATAAATGTTTTTTTATACTTACCCACTGAATGAATGATTAGTGCGAATGAAATAATTTGAAGGGTATTACGTAATGGTAAATAAGTATTATGTTCTTGATTTTTGAACTCGGTTTTAATTCCAATGATTAATAAAGGTTCTTTATACTCACGAGCTGAATGAATAATTAATGCGAAAGAAATGATTTGAAGGGTATTATGTAAATGTTAAATAAGTATTATTTCCCTGATTTGTGAACTGGTTTTTAATTCCAATGATTTATGTTTTTTTTATACTCACGAGCTGAATGAATGATTATTGTGAATGAAGTGATTTGAAGGGTATTGCGTAATGTTAAATAAGAATTATGCTCGATTGGTGAATTTGTTTTTAATTTTGTACTTACTCACTGAATGAAATTATTTAATGGTTTGAAGATTATTATGTAATGATAAATAAGTATTATATGGGGCGTCGTCAATCAAAACGTACCATAGTGAGATTGAAAAAATTGTTATACAAAATTAATCGTAACAGGTTATTTGTAACAACTTACTAGGGTGAGTGGCACGGCTAAAAAATATTGCGTGCCATATGACATGCCAACCGCTAAAGTTCGTGCCCGGATGCCACCCTGGCATGCCATTAAACCACGCGATAATATACTCAATTGGGATTGGTCAGTTATCGTCTACTATAAAATACCTTTTCGGAATACTTCGGAGCATTGCTCCAATTTTCCTTTCGAAATTTACATTATTTTATTTTCTATTCGGAACCTTTCGGAATATATATAAATGGCATGCCTATAGGCAATCTGGGCATTGGGCATGCCACCATAGGCATGCCACCCTGGCATGCAAATGACCTCCGTGCCACTCACCCTACAACTTACTCAGTATAATAAATTTTGTCGGACATTAACATAGATAATTAATCAACGGCACTCCATGTTACAATTAATTTGTTATTAACAATTTTTTAATCTCACTATGGTACGTTTTTATTGACGACGCCCCATATGTTCTTGATTTGTAAACTTGTTTTTAATTCAGATGATTAATAATATTCTTTATACTCAC